ATACGGTACACATTTATTGTTAAATGAAAATAAAGGAAATTTATTACCTGTATACGGTACAGTAGTACGGTAGTTGTCAACACAAACCAGACAAACTGTGAATCCTACAGTATCAAGAATTTACTCATTTATTCAATGACAATCATGTCATCATCTTCTGGAACATCATCATAACAATACAATTCCTGAATTTCCTGGTGAATTTCTTGTGACTCCATTTCTTTCAGAATCAGTGGACCAAATCTCTCATGTTTAGCCTAGGGGGCTTTATTTTCGGAGGGATGCCTTATATTTCACTCAGAAGGAAACCTGTAAGTAGGTCTTATTTTCAGAGGATGTCTTATTTTCAGGGAAACACGGTAGTAGTAAATCATTGTTGGAGTCTAATCAATTTCCCTCATTCATTGAATCCACTTTCATCCAACCTCCTAGTCTATGAAGTTTTGGCAGAGGTGTCAATCACAATGTCCTGCCTGCCCTCTGGCTGCAGGTATAAGCACATGACCTAGGCTTGGCCAACCAGGGCACCCCTATCCCCTGCCCACAGAGCTCATTTTAAGTATGAGGTTCCTAACTCAAAGCAAGCTGTCAGGGCCCTTCTCCCATTCTGCCAGGCACAGAAAACCTGTCTCCTGCTGAAGAGATTGAAACCAACACACAAAGAGAAGCAGGAAAAGCAGCTATAGAAATAGAATTCTAATAGAGAAGTATCTATTAAAAAAGTGAGGGTCAGTACCTGGATCCAGCCAAGCCCTTGAATTCACCTTCAGCCTTTGAGTCAGAAGAGATGAACAAATATGCTTTTTTAAAAAAAAATATATATATATATATTTTATTGATTTTGTACAGAGAGGGAGAGAGATACAGAGTTAGAAACATCGATGAGAGAGAGTCATCTATCAGCTGCCTCTTGCACACCCCCACTGGGGATATGCCCCAACCAAGGTACATGCCCTTGACCGGAATCGAACCCGGGACCCTTCAGTCCCCAAGCCAACGCTCTATCCATTGAGCCAAATCGGTTTCGGCCAAATATGCTTTTTTTAAACTTGTTTCAAGACGAGTTCTTTTTTAATAGTCTTAGCTGACAAAAAAGCTTTACTAATAGATGCTACTCAATTACACAAAATAAAAGGCTAATTCACATTAATGTAGATGATACCACGGTCTTTTAGGCACTTCATACAGAATTGGTAAATAGATAAATGATGTTGATATATTGGCATCACTGAAAGGGGTGTGGGTTCATACACAATTTTTCTCTCAGCACATTGTGTTAGAGCCATCAGGGCAAGCTCTCACAATTGAGAAAGCTTTAGAGAAACCTGCCCAGCCAGCATGACTCAGTGGCTGAGCATCAACAACAGACAATGAATGAACCAGGAGGTCAGGGTTCAATTCCCAGTCAGGCTCCATCCCCAGTGTGGGGTGTGCAAGAAGACAGCTGATCAATGATTCTCTCTCATCATTGATGTTTCTAGCTCTCTTTCCCTCTCCCTTCCTCTCTGAAATCAATAAAAATATATTTTAAAAAACCACACACAAAAAAAGACTTTATTTTAGAAAAGAAAATAGGAAACCTTGGGGGGTTGGGGGGGGGAACTGAAAATCTGCAAATTTTACTTCATTATGAAATAAATAAATAAAAAGGTTCAACTATTAATAGTAACTTTGCAAGCCCTCAGTGTTTTCACTCTGCTGAGCTGTCTAGAACAGCCATGATGAAGACACTAAGAAGACTCCCTCCCCTCTCCACCCCTACCCCCTCTCTACATAAAATAATGGATTAATGAAGGAAGCTTCAGATGGAATTATAAGGAAGTAAGTGCTTCACAGTGATGCTAAGAGCAAACACTGGAAGGAAGAGAGCTAACTGTTTTAGCATTTTTATTAGTAATATTATTGTTTTTATTGCTGTTCTAGCTACGTAGTTATAATACATAAATTTTTTGGTCTTGTCGATCCCAATGTCTTATTATTTTAACATAGCATGGATTTTTTAGAAACATATATGTATATGGTGTTAGAGCATTTATATTGCATTTTTATATACCCACACTCATTCTAAAAAGGATTGAGCCAAAATTGGTTTGGCTCAGTGGATAGATATTGGCCTGTGGACTGAAAGGTCCTAGGTTCGATTCCAGTCAAGGGCATGTACCTTAGTTGTGGGCACATCCTCAATAGGGTGTTTGCAGGAGGCAGCTGATCGATGTTTCTCTCCCATCGATGTTTCTAACTTTCTATCCCTCTCCCTTCCACTCTGTAAAAAATCAATAAAAATATATATTAAAAAAATAAATAAATAAAAAGGATTGAGGACCGTGTGAAAATGTACATAATAAGATAATTTTGGGGGGAGGACGTGAAGAGAAAGAAAGAAATAGAAATATAGGCATTAATGTTGCAGGGTAAAATTAAGGCCAGAAGAATATAAATGTTGGAAAGCCCTGTATTGGTAGACACCTTCCACCCCGCTGAAAGTGAAGGAAAAAGTTTCTACTTGGTTTATGGATGGGTCACTTTAGTATAAGGGGGAAGCCAAAAATGGCCAGCAGCCCAACTATATCCCTATCCAGGGGTGGCCTTGAAAGATAGAGGTGATGCAAAAATTCTTCCAATTAGGAAAAAAATCTGGTCACTCCCTTTATATGGACAAAAGAAGTGGCCCAAGGTTGAAATATATACTAGTACAGACTCATTGGCAGTGGCAAATGGCCTAACTGGCTGATCAGGTGTCTGGAAGAAGAAAGATTGAAAAGTTGAGGTCAAATCAGTCTGGGACAGCGGCATGAGGATAGAGAGACATATGAGAGGGGTCATGAAGTGTGAAGATAGTTGAATCATATGTTGATGCCCACCAGAGGGCACACACTATAGAATAGTTATGAAAAAATGGATAGATGGCCAGTAGATGCCATCCAGCCTCTAAGTCTCTCTTTGAAAATTGCCTCCCCCACAAGAAGTTATTTGATTAGTTATTTCAGAATGAACAAATTTCCTGTGGACCACAACCCTAGGAACTAAGAACAGCCATCAACCTTAGCATTCACAGCCAAATTTTATAGGCATATTTGAGGACTCAGAGTAGGAGAAGGCAACTAAGAGACAGATCTGGAGCCCCTGATAGAATTATGACTCTTCAGGGCTATGAGCTCATTATCCTTTCATGTCCAGACTTGCCCTGGAATTAAGCCTCCCTGGGCATTCAACATTAGGCTGCATTTATCCACTAAGAGTGGTGATGCTGGCACCCTCAAACGAGCTACCATTTGCATAAGATGCAGAAAATCTTCTCCATCTATGTCTAGTTAGTAAGGATGCCATTCAGTAGCTACACTGAGAGACTCCCTAAGGAACTCAAACTCATGTCATTGGAAGGAACCAGGCTTCTATTACCTCCTGCAAGATAGTAGCCCGTGAGAGGTTTATAATCCACCTTGGTAATACAGTTTCCTACAAAAGGAAAACATGAGAGAGTTAAACTGGGGTGGCTACCCCAGCAAATTCTTAAAACTCTCAGAAGTTCCTCCAAACTCTTACTACCATTTCATAGCAAGGGCAGGACACTGAGGTGGCAATATCCAGTGGACAGCTGAAAATGTGGGTTTAGATTTTGGGAAAAACAACATCTGAGAAATCTCAGCAGATCAGTGATTCACCCATACATTCAGCCATTTATTCAACAATATTTTTTGAATACATACTACATGTCAGGAACTCTGCAAGATATTCAAAAATTTCTAGGGAATATGACAGAGCTAATCTCTTTTGTTGTGGTACTTACCAGTAGAATCTGGTGGTATTGTCAAAGTATTAATTGAACCATGAGTATAAACAATCTTTCCAAGGTTTGAAGACACATTAAGATTTGGGGCACATTCTAGCATTTAAAAAAGAGAAAATAAACCAACAAAGGAGGTAGAGAAACAGGAGATATGTGGAAAACTAAAAGAACATAATACTTAGTTTAAGATGTGAGAGTTCAAAAGGAAGAAAGAAAATAAAATATCACCTACTGCTAAAAAAAAATCAAGAATATAACTGAGGGGGAAAGTGTAGTATAATGTTAAGAATATGGACTATAGCTTCAGAAAAACATAACTATGAGTCCAACTTCACCACTGATTGATGATATGATTTTGATGGGGCTGAAAATGCCCCCTATAGGGTTATGTAAATGATATTACATATGCAAAGTGTCAAGTATACTTCCTAATAAGTAGAGGTTTAGTTTTTCAGCTTTTTAAGTTTTGAGGGGCATCTTTGAATTTGCAAAAAGGAGACTTGGTGAATCCTAGGAAATTTGCCTAATGTCTTTAAAATTCAACAAACATGTTCATAAAACCTGCCACTGTCTATGTATCTCACTATACACCCTTTCACCATGCACCCGTATGATAAGACATAAAAAGAAAGCTAATAAAGCAGAAATTTTGATAGTAATTTAGGGCCACTAATTGGTGCCCAGATGCCTCAAGCTTTTCGCAGAGAGCATGTGGTCAGTCACACAGCTGGAAATTTAAGCAAAATATATACTCAGGCTTTCAAAATTCAGAACTTGCAGCTGAATTGGACTCTGTCTTCCACAGCATACAAATCAATCAATCATCAGAGTCAACCCAAGTGAGAAAGCTACAAACCATTTTCCTCTTGCCCTTACTTGGATGTTGGAGGCAGGGATAGTAGTAGGGAACCTTTAAGAGAAACATCAGAGGCAACTGTAGAAAATATTGACAAACCCACATCCAAAAGGGGAGATGGCTGAGCTTGGGGAAGATTGAAGAATGGAAGCTAGATGTCAGAGGGCAAAGGAGAAGACCTTGAGAAGTATGCACAGATCACTCATTGGAGAAGTTTGGTAGTGAAAAGATAAGAGAGCCAAGAAATTCTGACTGTGCAACTGTCAACTTCAACCTAAGCTTGGACCGATTGCTTAAACTACGTCTGTTTGATGAGTTGGTTTCTCAAGCAAGCAACCTGTCTCGGCTCTTTTCCAGGGCCTGGCTTTCTCTGGTTCCATAAGCAGAAAGGATCATAATCCCCGCTGAGATGTCAGCGGAGATGACTCTACTTTCTGGTACACCCAGCCTGCAGATAATGATCTTGACTAGAAGATTGCAAGGCATTTAAAAGCAGTGAAGGTGCCAAGTCACACTGTCCTTTTTCCAACTGGGAAGAGATCATTCTTTCTATGCCTTGGCTTAAACAAATAAAGCAATCACTAAAAGTTCTAGTCTCTGCAGTAACACGAGGTTTCATGTCAGGTTCCAGGATGCACGTAGGGCAACAACTAGGTCATCTGTGAGGATTTAGCTTTCCCAATTACTGACAGGCTGTGAATCACACTAGGGTCAGATAACTTTCTCAAAGAAGGACTGCACGGTGATGGGGGTCAAAGTCTATGGTTTGGCTCAATGTTCTTAAGACCTCTGTCCCTTTCAAATCAATTCCTGAGCATCTTCCACTGTGTCACAATGGTACTAACTTAGCCCCTAGTGAACACGAGGAGACTGGACCATCCATTTATGTTCATCTCAATTCCAATCCCTGCCCTTGTTAGGAGGATGGCTCTACCAGCCTATGTCCACTTGACTCTGCCTTTGATCTGCTGTGTGTGCATATGTGCTGGCCAGAATAGTAAGGGAAATTGGCAGAATGGTCAGAAAGCATAATGACTACATGTTTATGGTGATGTCTGGCTGATGGGTTTTAAAGCCTCCTAAAGCTTGAGATTTCAAAATTTAAGTTAATCTACATACTACTCACCTCATGGCCATATAAAGAAATATCAAATGGAGTCCTAGCCAGAGCTGCTTTCTGAGTGCATTGATACTGGGTATAGTTCATTGGCTGGCATGGGGCAGGTGAATCTCTCAGTGTTAAGATGAACTTGTTCCACAGATTTCATTGTTCAATTTAAACAAAACATTCTGATATTACGTTATTTGGTGGTGAGGAATAAAACAAAACATTATGTTTTTATTTTTGTTCACTCTTCATTCAGCATGTATTTTTTGAGCACCTACTATGCACTGCGCACTGTGTGAAGTGTTGGAAGTGCAATATGAACAAAACCAGTCAGGATTCTGCCCTAATGGAGCCAGAAGAAATTGTCAAATCATTTTACAAGTCAATAGAAAAGTATAAACGCTACAAAAGAGAACTATGGGGTGTTATGAGAATGGAAGATAAAGAAGTTTGACCTGATTTTGGTGGTCATGATGACGGAGTTAAGGAATACCAAAATTAATTGCCAAGAACACAGAGGTTATTCATAACTCATCATACTTGGAAATCTTGGGAAAGTCTTAGCTATGATGTCCCTCCTCTACTCTTCTTGAGTTGTTTAATGTTTCCTCGGGATGGACAGGGAAGACTAGAAAGTATTCACATAGATTCAGGAAATATATTTGGATAAAGAAGTAATCCAATAAAAGAACATGCTTTATTATTATTTTTGTTGTTGTTAATACTTGCCTGAGGATATTTTTCCATTGATTTTTTTAGATAGAGTGGAAGAGAGGGGGAGAGATAGAGAAAGAGAAACACCAATATGAGACACATCGATTGGTTGCCTCCTGCATGGGATCAAGCCTGCAATTGAGGTATGGGCCCTTTAATGGAAATCAAACCCGGGACCTTTCAGTCCTCTAGTCACTGAGCCAAGCTGGTTAGGACAAGAACATACTTTCTTGATTTACTAAATTCAAGGCAGACTATACTAGTTGGTACTTCCTAAATTAAAAACTATCAAGTAGAATTGTAAGAAGTTAGTTATAGTGAATCTTTTTGTATCATAAAAGCAGCAAATTTGGGCTTTGGGTTAACTGTGTAGAGACTTCAGATAAAAACTTTATTTTATTTAATTATTTATTTTTAAAATATATTTTATTGATTTTGTACAGAGAGGAAGGGAGAGAGATAGAGAGTTAGAAACATCAATGAGAGAGAGGATCAGCTGCCTCTTGCACACCCCCTACTGGGGATTTGCCCACAACCAAGGTACATGCCCTTGACCGGAATTGAACCTGGGACCCTTCAGTCCCCAAGCCGATGCTCTATCCATCGAGCCAAACCGGTTTCGGCTAGATAAAGAACTTTAAAGTACGATATTGAAGAACAGAACTGACCCGAAACTACACAATAGGAAACCACACCCAAATGATACTTTTGCGATGCAAGGGACAGTAAAGCTCTGTGGTAACAAAGGTGTAAAAGAGAGATCACTAGATCAGTGTCAGGAGATTCTGGCTCCAGCCCCAGCAAGGCCATTTTCTAACATTTTCTCTGTGACTCTGCATAAATCGCTTCCTATCTCTGAAGTGGTAGCTCCTCATCTGTGAAAATTATGGGGTTTGACCTCTGATAGTTAAGGTTTCCACCTCTTCAAGACTTTTTTTGCTACAAGACTCACGGTAAGGCAGCAAGACTCAGAGTAACAAGTTTCTATAATCCCCAGCTTACTTCCAACGCTGGACAGGTGCAGACAAGTGGCAATATGGCCCATATCTTTCTACTCATCGAGTGTGCTAGGCGCCATGTGGACGAGATATGAATAGATTCACCTTTCTCTGTCAGATAATTTGTAAGTTAAGAGCTCAGATTTGGATCTGAGCTTGCTAGCATTAAACTTTTCCTACCTGTGGAGCCTGGGTAACTCATTTCAACTCTCTGAGACCCTATTTGCCCATCTATTCATATCAAGTGGGGATAACCATCACCACTCCTCAGAGTGTTCATGTGTCTGCCTATGGAGGTAGATACCTTTGTCGTTACATGCAAAAATGCCAGACTCAGACTCCTGGGTTTGAATCCTACAACCAACCCTCGGTCAGGTTACTTATCATCACCTGCATTTTACTTTTCAATCTGTAAAAATGGACATGATAATTGTAGAGGCGTGTCTCAAAAGCAATAATCCGTGTAAGCACATAGAGCAATACGTGACTCTTATACCTCAATGAAAGTTCACCATCGTTATTAATAAGTGATAGCTAATATTTTACATTACGGAGTACATATTATGTATCAAAAATGCCAACATTCATCAAGGAGACCATTATTGAGGCCATGACTCAAAAGATCTGATATATAATTGACCCAATGACTAGCTAAAGCAAACACAAATTAATTACTAAGCATTTTGTTTTCATCCTGGATGAAATTAGAGATAGCATTGTTCACCACGTAGGAGCCGAATCCAAAAGGAATGGGACTGGACACGCTTTCTGAAGTCCAGCTTGGTCACCGGCACACACCTGCACTCTGCTGACCAGGGTGGTGGTGTGGCTGCAGCTGAGCCCTCGCATTTCTCAGCAGAAGGGCAAATGGTGACCACGCTTGCTGAGACTGAGGTCATGATGCAAGGGCTGGTTGGACACTGGCAGGCAGAGCTGACAAAGACGCACTGTTTCCCTGACAGCACAGAATCATATTACTGCGCACACAGGCGTCTCACACCTGGGAAGGATGAAATTACACTGAGCTTAATCCTCCGAAACCAGCTCAGCAAGAAGTCGCTTCAACTTTGGGGACAGGCGCTGTCTCCTGGCAAAGAAAATATTGCAGGGCAGCTGGGCAGTTTTCATAATTGGAAGGGCCTGGCCTTGTCAGTTGAAGTCATCGTTGATCCTTTATTCTCTTTATTCACCAGACCTTGAGAGGTCTGAACTCAGGCTTTTTTAAATGGGCATGCAGTCTTCCGCGCTCACCCTTCTTAACTGAGGACATCAGTCTTTCAGGGAGGTTACATAAGCATATTAAAGCAATTCAGATTGATACCAGACGCTCACTAAAAATAAGTATATAGATAATTCATTCCTTTCAGCCACACTGAGCTTTGCTGCAATTAGGGTCAGCGAGGATTATGTGCATGCCAGAATGTGTCAGTGAGCACAAACCCAGGGTTGTAACCAAAACTGAGGCCAGAAGGATTTCACAACTTTTATCTCCAGGCTTAAGTAACCACAAAGCCAGCATTTCAGAAGGTTCTTAAATAAAAGTCCTCCAACAAGGTCTGCTGTACACCTTCCCTGAATGCACTATCTCTCTCACTGGCCTGCCCTGCAGGGAGGCCCAGGATGGAATCTCACAGCAGGAGGTGGACAGAGCAGCCACCACTCCAGCCAACTTCAACCTGAGGCTCCTGCTTATCATGGCCACACCCTTCTCTCCTCTCCCTCCCTCAAGAACATAACTTAGTTTGGAGTTTTATAAAAAACTAGAAGCCTGGTGCACAAAATTCATGCATTTGAGTTGTCCCTCAGCCTGGCCTGCGCCATCTCACAGTCTGGGAGCCCTCGGGGAGTGGGCCTAAGTTGTCAGTCAGACATTGCTGTGGAGGTGGAGATGCTCCCACCACTTCCTCTGCACTCACCAGCCTGTGAGCCCAGCTTCTGGCTGAGCGGTGCTCCCCCGTGGGCATGCACTGACCACCAGGGGGAACCTTCTGCATTGAGCATCTGCCTTCTGGTGGTCAGTGTGCATCATAGCAATCAGTTGTTCAGTCCTTTGGTCAATTTGCATTTTAGTCTTTTATTACATAGGATTATATATGAAATGTGTCAATTGATCCTCCTACCAAATGCATCACAATGCAATGGTTTAAGATGGGGGGTATCAACCCAACATTTTAAAAGTTAATTAAAAGTAAAATAACACATGGTAAAAAAATTTTTTTTTAAATGCAACACATGGTCCAGCTGGCATGGCTTAGTGGTTGAGCATTGACATATGAATAGGGAAGTCATGGTTTAATTCCTGGTCAGGACCTATGACTGGGTTGTGGGCTTGATCTCCAGTTGGGAGCATGCAAGAGGCAGCTGATCAATGATTCTCTCTCATCATTAATGTTTCTATCTCTCCCTCTTCCTCTCTGAAATCAATAAAAATACATTAAAATATATAAATAAATAAAAAGGAAACATAGTTTAAAAAAACTTGAAAGAGACCAAAATCATACTATAAAAAGTGTATCTTCATAATCTTTCCCAGCTACCTGGTTTCCTTCCCTAGTGGCAATT